GTGTGGGATGCAGAGGAGGCCAAGAGGCAGCTTCGGACACTGGGAAGGCAAAATGCTGATGCACTGATGGAGTCACCTGCACAGGGACATCGGGAATCCCGTCAGGAGGAGGGAGCCAAGGGCCTGACCCCTGAGCAATACTCTGGGCTGTGGAACCAGCTCCATCTGGGAGGAGTGGTGGTCTCAGGAAGCCCATGAGATCCATCTGATTTGTAATCTAATCCCCCGATGACATTCATGGCATGGGAACTGTTTTCCATGGAAACCTATCTGCAGGAGGACATTCATGCCAGATGCCTTGATTTAATCAGCCTATGCAATATCCTCAGTTACGTTCCAACATCTGACCCCTGCTAACCAGATTGGGTACTTCAAAGCCGGGAGAGCATTTTTCATGCCAGGGAAAAGAACCATGGAATTTCTAGAGCTGGAAGGGATCCACAGGGATCACCAAGTCCAGCTCCTGGCCCTGCATAGGACACCCCAACAATCCCACCCTGTGCATCCCTGAAAGCATTGTCCAAATGCTCCTGGAGCTCTGGCAGCCTGGGGCTGTGCCCATTCCCTGGGAGCCTGGGCAGTGCCCAGCACCCTCAGGGGGAAGAGTTTTTCCTTTAGCTGGATGGACACCATAATTGGGAACCAAAGTGAAAGTCCAGCCAAGGCTTTCCAGTGAATTCTGTGCTGGTTCAGAGTGGACATGATGCATTCTCACCATGACTCTGTGGCATTTTGAATGTTCTCTTGTGGGAACCAAGCGCAAACCTGCAGCTGTTCACAGCAGCACAGAGTTCCAGAAGTCTGAATGTACAAATAATCTCTAATTCTCCTAATTTTTGTCTTTGGATAGCACAGAAATATGGATTTATGTTTACCTGCACCTTTTGGCCTCTCTTGATGCACAGACACATCCACAGAGGGAAGAGGAACAAGGTTCCCAGCAATGGGAACAATAAAACTTCCTGGCCTTGTTTGCATTGGCACAACGGCTTCTGCATCCTTCACGGTTCACGAGGCATGAAATATCCCGGGTTATCACTGAGCTGAAAGGTGATGGATCCAGCCCAAATATTGGTGAACACCCAGCAAGAGGGACCAGACACTGTCTCGGGCTGCTGGGTTAAAAATAGCTCTCAATTGTCAGATCTCACAGCTGGCCCCAGCTCGGCTGGAGTGATGGCCCATGGCAAGGGGTGGGGCCAGATGGGCTGGAAGGGACCTTCCCTCTGGGATTCCATAATGCCTCAGCTTGGAGAAAGTTTGCACTAATGGAGGTTGGTAATTGAAGGACCTGATACTAAATGGAACTCAGGACAACTGGGAATTTCTGCTTGCCTAATGGTATTTATAAGATTTATTGGTTGCTTGGATGAAGGTAAAGCCTTGAACACCTTCAGACAACAGTCTTACAATCTGTCTATTACAAAGCCAAATTCCAGCTCAGTAAGATGGACCTGGAGGTGAATGTCCAGGTGCCATGGGCACTTTCCAGTGCTCCAGGGTGCTCCAAGCCCTGTCCAGCCTGCCCTTGGACCCGTCAGGGATGAGGCAGCCACAGCCTCTCTGAGCAACCTCAGGGTCTCCCCAGCCTCACAGGGAAGAATTCCTTCCCAATATCCTATCTGTCCCTGTTCCCTGGCAGTGGGAAGCCATTCCCCCCTGTGCTGTAACTCCAGGTCCCTTAAACGCTCCTTGTGTAAAGATAGGATCAAAAGGATAAAACTTCCAGAAGCTGCTCCCACACTGATATAAAATGCTCAAGAGCTAAAATTATCCCCCCAAGAAAGAAGTTTTTGGTAAAAACTGCATCTTTTGGGAAGTGAAACAAGGGGTGAACCCATGAATACATTCCAACTGCAAACAAAAGCAGGCTCAGAAACACTCACCAAACAATCCAGCCCACTCCATGTGCCTCCTAAATCTCCCATGCCTCCAACGGGTACCACAGGCTCACAATGCCGTGAGTGACACCACAACGTGGGGCTAACAGCACTCAGTGCTCTAAAAGCTATTTCTTAATTTAACTTCCAATTTATGGAGGCATTTTACCATCCTTCAACTCTCATTTTCTCTGAGGAAACGCAGGCCCTGATTTGCGAAATGTTAAAATAAATGGATGTCGCCAAATTATTAAAATGAAAGGCAAGCGCAGGGTTGGCCAAGCAGATCATGGCTGGAGCCCAGCTTCCCAAATTCCCTGAGCAGCTTTCAGCTGATTGTGGAAAGGCGCCATCAGCGGGAATGCCGTGTCTGCAAGCATCACCTCACCCTGGTATGTTTGGAAAGCTCCTGGACAGCCTGTGCCACGGGGAGGGGAGCGTGCACAGATCGTCCATCATCCTGATGCCTTGGGGGGGAATGGCTGGAGCCATAAATCAACAAAGCTCTCCTGCTCCGTCCTACCCATCCTGCCTTCATTTATCTCTCCGTGCTGGATTGTGGAATCACAGAGCACTTTGGGTTGGAAAAGGTCTTAAAACCCGTCCTGTTCCACGCCCTGCCATGAGCAGGGACACTTCCACGAGGCTGCTCCAAGCCCTGTCCAGCCTGGCTCGTCTCACCTTGGAGTTGTTAGACCCTTTTTAGGAGCAAGGCTGTGGTGGCACACGTGGACTCCTGGCCAGGCACGCTGGGGCTGGCTGAGTTTCTGCTGGAAAGCTGCGCCGTGCCTCTCACAAACACCAGATGCTCCAGGCCGGGGAAACAAAGAGCACTTTCTGTAAACAACAGCACACTGCAGCCCTCTCCCAGGCACGAACAATGGGAACCAGCAAAACAAGTGACAAGAGGTGGAAAACAGAGCAGCACATGTGGGCTGGAGGGAGAAGTGCAGGATGCAGAGGAAAAAATGGGAAAGGTGCTGGATGCAGGTGGGAGAATGGGAAAGGTACTGGATGCAGGTGGAAGAATGGAAAAGGTGCTGGGTGCAGGTGGGAGAATGGGAAAGGTGCTGGATGCAGGTGGGAGAATGGAAAAGGTACTGGATGCAGGTGGGAGAATGGGAAAGGTGCTGGATGCAGGTGGGAGAATGAGCTCCCTGGGGGCTGCAGCCTCCTGTCACTGTGCAGGGCTGGGGAGGGATTGGGCAGCCACTGCCCTCTCCATGAAATCTCAGAAAGTTTGGGTGGAAAGGGACCTTAAAACCCATCCCATTCCATCCCCTGCCATGAGCAGGGACAACTTCCACCATCCCAGGCTGCTCCAAGCCCTCTCAAACTCGGACTGGAACACTTCCAGGGATGGGGCAGCCAGAACCTTTTCCTTCTTTTTCTTCCACAACCCTCTTCTTTCTTTTTCTTCAGGGTTGCAAATTGCAGAGGTCACACAGAGCTCTTCTGGGAAGGAAGACAAGGTTGGAGGAGCTGATGTGGAACAACAACAACAATAAAAAGTTAAATAACTTGGGGCTTCCCTAGCAGCGTCTGGGGAATGGGAACAACAGATCCTAGAGGAAATGCTTTGAGACTGCCAGAGATTTGGTCAGCTCTCATAGCCCAGAGTGAATATTTGGGCATCACACAGTGCAAGAAGAAATATTTTCCTCGCTGCTGCAGATCTTAGAATGAGATTAACGAGTGTGAGTAACAAGGAACATGTTGCAATGCTGTTATAAAAGCAAGGACAGGCTCTCAGGTGAGTGTCACACAGGAAATTCAGTGAGAGGAGACCAGAAACCCCAGCTTGTCTGTCCTGGAGGGCACAGGTAAATAAAAAGTAATTCCTTTAAACAATTCCACATTTATTGCCCCCAAACTGGCAGCTCAGGCACACAGATCTCTCTTGTTTGAGGATAAATCTCCAGTTCCAAGCTGCAGCACAGAGATGTTGTCACTGACTTGTGGGTACCAATTTGGGGTAGCCTGGGGGGAGATGCATGAAGAGGCAGGAGGGAGACACTCCAAATTAGAAGAGTATCGTGGCTGGAAGTGTTAAAATTTAAGATTAGGGCTTGTTTGGCTTTGTTTTTCATCACCATAATTCCAGACCATTCGATCCTTTTCTTCCAATTCAGAAAAAATTCTGGTTTTGCCTTCAGAGGAAGCACTGGCACCAGATCAGACAAACATCTCCCAAGTGAAAAAAGCAGGAATCCTAAAAAAGGGACTGTGCCCTTGCCTGGAGGCAGCTGCATGGACTAAATCCTCAGGTACACATGCTAATCCTCAGGAAAAACAGAGCAAGCAGCAGAAACTCTCGCTGCTCAAGCTTGAAGGGAGTTTTCCAGTGAAAATGCCACAAAATAAAAAAAGCTAAAAAATATTTTGAGGAATTACATCTACTTGCATGCCAAGACAAACTGAGGAGCTGCATTTCCAGAGGGACCAAGGGAGCAAGAGCAGAAATGAGAGGTTTAAAGAGCCCTCTTCAGCCCGGTGTGAAGATGGAAAAAATTCAGGATGCTCTGAACACGGCCCAGGAGGGGCAAGGCAGGAGGTGGCACCGGCGCTGTCCCTGTAACCCCCAGGCAGGGACCGCGGTTCTCCGGCCCCCTCCAGTGGCTACAGCACAGGGAGAGGCCGGCAGGATCCAGGCTTTCCCAAATCCAGAGCCATCCTGCTCTTTATTGGGCAGCAGGTGGATCCAGGCTGGCCACAGGTACCTCCCACCTGCCCTCAGGTCTGATCCTGCTGCTGTCCCAAACCATTTCGACCCTGTGAAAAGGCAACAGGCACTAATGGGCACTTGTGGAAGTGGAATTTTGTCCCCTCTGTTGTGTCCTGTCACAGTTCTCATCACTGGAAGAAGAAGGGCTAAAAAGGTACTGTGACTCAAGTTGGGGTAAAAAGGGCTTTACTTGACTTCGGGGATTGAAAAACAAGAAATAAACAAACAAAGCTCCAAAACCAACCAAAAAAAACCACTTCAACCCAACAGATGCCTTTCCCCCACCCTTTGAGCAGGATGATATTTGGATCCCAGCTATATCCCAGATATTTGGATGAGCAGGAAATGGTATTTGGATCCCAGCTACCAGCATCCCGTGCCCTGGAAATCCTCCCCCAGCAACAAAGACAAGAAAGCCAACATGAAAGGACAGCTTTGGAGCAGCCTGGCTGATTTCAGACTTGGTTTGGCTCTTCAAGCGTTTGCCAAATCTTTTTATCCTGTCCATTCAAGCTTCCAGCAAGACCAGGCCACACACACTTTAGATATACTGCACAAATATAATGGGCATTTTTCAATGGATGGGATGTACACTGCAGGAATGTTTATTTTCCCACCCATAGCTTCACAGATCTCAATTTTTACTCACATTTTCTGAGCACACCTCATGGACAACATGGGGAAAAACACCTTTACAAAAGGGAATGCTTTGCTGCATAGGAGGGAATGGTGAAGTCCAAGCTAAGGCAAAAAGAAATGCTGTTTATATAATGTGAAAGGACAGAAATGCATCAATTACTGAGATTTCATACTGTAAGACTATTGTTTCCTAGGTTTAAAAGGAGAGGGTAAGGCAGAGGATGCAGGCTTTTGCCATATAGGACATGACAATGAAGTCTATGAATATCCTGAATTTATTTCAAGATTATTATCTCTCTGCAGTGAAAATTCCAAATTCTCTGTGTATTAAACCAGCTCGGCAAAGCTGGGTTTGAGTAGCCTCAGCAACCAATCTCCACAGGGACCTCATTCCAACAGAATCCTGTGCACTTACAGCTTAATTTCATGTGAGTTGTCCCCAGGCTGGACTCATTCCAGGCCCTCAAGCCAAAGGTTTGGTCTTTTCCAGAGGCAGAGCCCCTCAGTGAAGATGGAAGTTGGATGGATGATCCAGGCACTCCAAAGCCTTGATTCTGCCCATCTCCAAGGCACTGATGAACCTCAGGCTGGTTTGCTGCTGGGCTGGGAGATACATCCTTAGACCTGGAGAGATCCATGCTCAGGGGAATCCTTTGGATGGGATCTCTAATTAACGTTAACAGGCTCAGCTTTAATTACAGACCAGACTTACATCAAGCACGGAGTTGAGCCCATTCTCTCAATTTCTCTGACATTCCCACTGAGGCATTTCACTGCAGCTTATTCCAGGTGGAACCACCATCCAGAGTGGGGCTGAGCACAGGAACAGGGAATGGTCCCAGCCCCAGGCTGCCAGAGCCCAAGGAACATTTGAACAATGCTCTCAGGAGTGCACAGGGTGGGATTGTTGGGGTGTCTTTGCAGGGCCAGGAGCTGGACTGATGATCCTTGTGGGTCCTTCCAGTTCTCCCATCCATCCTACCACCTTTACCCCAGCTGGGGGTCCCATTTACAAACCAACTAAAAATCCTCAGGGAAAAACCAACCCCAAAAACTGTTCCCGTGGCACTTTCTCAACACAGTCCACCTCATTTTTTGCCTCCCCATACTGGAGCTCAGGAGCATGGTGAGCTCCTGCAAACCATTATGGATCCCCCAGCAAGGTGCCAAGAGGCTTTACAACCGGTTTGCATCTCCCAGGCATGTTCACACCTCTATAAAGCCAGTGCATGACTCGCTGCCAGCGCCAGGAAAACCAAAACCAGCTGCAGGCCTGGGAAGGGAACGGTGCAGAACTGCCCCTCCTCACCTGCCCACAGCTCCATGTCCCCTGCACCTCACCTGGAGAAGGTCTGGAAATATCCTCTGCTTTGGTTTGCTTTTGCATTTATTTATGCCTCTGGGAAAAGAACGTTTTGGGACCAGCGTTGAGGCCTACGGGGTAAACCCATAGGGTCCAGGGACAAGGCTCGGAGCAACCTGGGATAGTGGAAGTGTCCCTGCCCATGGCAAGGGCTTGGAGGTGGGCTTTAAGGTCCTTCCCAACCCAGACCAAGGTGGGATTCTCTGGTCTTTAAGGTCAACATCTGGAAAATTACCTTTGCCAGCTGAATGAGCACGGGAAGAAGAGCTAGTAAAGAAAAATCATCCAAAAAAATTGAACTTGCAACACAGTGACTTTACTTGAATCGGAAAAGTTAAAGCAAGTACCATTTATCACCTGAGATTTTTCCTAAGATCCTGAGGCACCATCACCTCTACCCTTCTGAAGTTTTGACAACAATTCCTCTGCACTGAGCATGACTGGCTGACCCTGAGATCCCAACAAAAGGCCGCTGACTCCCTGTAGAATGACTCTCCTGGGAGTTTTGGCATGAAGAGGCACTGGAAGTCAATGGAGCCCAGGCTGCTGGATGCAACACTATGATTAGAAGCACAAAATCTCCCAACTCCTCAAAATAACCCCCTTTTTCCTCCCTTTTCCACAATGCAAACAAAACAGACCTGTTTCGTGGATCTGGGTGAGTTTTCTCTGGTCTTACCACGGCATATGAAGTAACATGTAGGTAGGAACTTCTGGGTTTATGTGCTGTGATGGGAAAAATAGTAAAGTAGGGACACTTTCCCCGCACAGAAATGCCACAGAGACCCCAGGTGTGTGTGCGACACAGATCAGTAACAGAGGTTACGCATTTGCCAACAGCTACAGGATATATTGTATTTGCTCCAGCAACACCCACACACGTTCAGCAGCCTCTCCCCAAGGAGATAAGACACTGAATCACTGCACCCTATATCTGGAGGAGAAAAAAAAATCCACAGGAGCAGGGAATTATGTGCACTCCATGAAGGAAAAAGAGGCAGGATTTGCACCTGGCTCTGTCAGGGCACTCATTTACCAAGTCAAACTGTCCCCAAAAGCAGCCAGCCACCCTTTAACTGTGTTCGTGGAGTAAAAATTGTTTAATGGGGTCTGGGATGGGAAGGCTGGGGATCAGATCCAGGCGGGATTTGCCAAGGATTCTCCGCACAGCTATGCGGCACAGAGACAAGAGGCTCCGGGCGCGGCCTGCAAGGAAAAACACAGGGAAGGATTACTGGAGAAACAGAGCAGGAGAACAGCAGCACGGAGGCAGGGCGGGAGAGCTGAGTGTGCACAAATCCTGCCTCGTGAGGAGGTCAAACCTCCTGGGCTTGGAACAGATTTCCAAGCACATGGGCAGGCTGGAAGGCAGGATGGGCTGGAGACCATGGAAGCCATCACTGCCAAGCCCACAGCAGGACCTGAGGGAGCAGCTGGAGCTGTGCCAGGGGGCTTTAGGTTGGATTTCAGGAAAAGGTTCTTCCCTCAGAGGGTGCTGGGCACTGCCCAGGCTCCCCAGGGAACGGGCACAGCCTCAAGGCTGCCAGAGCTCCAGGAGGGTTTGGACAACACTCTCAGGGGTGCACAGGGTGGGATTGTTGGGGGGTCTGTGCAGGGCCAGGGGTTGGACTGGATGATCCCTGTGGATCCCTTCCAACTCCACAGTTCTATTTGGATCATTTTAAAATTATGCCAACAGCACTGATGGCCAGCTCAGGCCTTATCCCAACTTTCTTTTGAGTGCTTCCTTTGACTCCATGGAGAGCTCTTCCAGCACAGGGACAAGAGGATGGTGGTGCCCATGTTGATTCAGGAACTGGAACTCCATGGCATCACTCCATTATCCCATATGCTCCAACTGAGGAGTCCCATTTGCCTCCTAAACCCAAGCCTAATGGAACTCCAGCTTATGTGAGCCTCGCTCCTCAGAATCCCAGGCAGGCTTGAAAACCAGGCCCATGCAAAGATGAGTAACCTGGGGATGTGAATTGTATCCCACAGCCTGAATCCCCTTAAATTTCTCCGGAGTTCAAGAGGGAAACCCCACTTCCATCCCTGGTGCAATGCTGTGGCCTTCACCAGGTGAGTTTCCGAGGTGCTGCGCTTTTCCCCAACTTTTTTCATCTCCATCCGAGCTTCCTCCTGACCCTTTTTACCACTGTTTGTGGCTTTCCTTCCCAACCAGATTAAACTCCATCCTGGATCCAGAGCCCAGGGCCACACAGGAACAGCAGGGACACACCTGTGTGGCTCTGGAGAACTGGATGCCACTGGTGATCCACAGCTCAGATAGGACCCTTTATGCCTAGTCTACAAGAGTGGGCAATGGAAAAGAGCTGGGAGGGATGAAAAAGGTGGAGTAACAGACTTTGGTTAGTTACTTTAGCCCAACAACAGGGGTTTGGCTGCTGAAGGACTCAAGAGGGGGAAACACCGTGTGAAGGCACAAAATGCAACATGGGAAAAGCAGGGAGTGGAGAAATCATTAATGCTTTGTTTGCCGGCTCGTTAGACCCCATTATCCAATTGCTGACGGTCCTTGAAGTGAGGACAGCAACACCCACCCCACCAGCTCAGCAGCACCTTCACTTCCAAAGAACCCCTCCCAAGTGCTCTCCCAGGGACCCAAACCCACTCACCCCTCGCTTCTTTGAACACCTCCAGCGCCTCGGCGTTCACCTTGACCCTCCCCGCGGCCTCGACTCCCAAGGCCTCCACCTTGACAAGGTTGAGATCCGCTCCAAAGTCAACGAGGAGGCGGACGAAGGCCGGCTCGCAGCCGTGCCGCAGGACGGCGTCCAGCACGCACACAGGCGAGCCCCGCGAGAAGCCCCGCACGTTGACGGGCCCGCAGCAGTTAAAATCCGGGTTGGCTCCCGCCTGGAGCAGCAGGCGGAAGCAGGGCAGGTTGTGGTAGGCAGCGCTGATGTACAGGGGACACACCACCAGCGTGGTCAGCGGCCGCGGCGCCTGGCCCGGCCCGCGGGACGCCAGCTGCTGGTTCACGTCCACGTCCGCGCCGTACCTGCTCCAGGGAGAGGGAGGGAAGGTTGGGAATGGCAAGGGAGGAGGTTGAAGGACATGTGTGGAGTGAGAACCTCTGGAACCTGCCCATCCCTACCCTGAGATGGGCCTGGCAGAGCTTCTGAGTGGGGACAACGCAGCGTGATCTCCCAGAAGCAAAGATGTTTCCTTGCCCACAACAGCCCAGGATTTGGAGAGAGGAGGAACAGCAACATCCTTGCCCTCCTGATGGATTGGGTTTGCATGGCCAGGTTTTGGTGGTGAGAGGCTACAGAGGTGGCTTCTTTCAGAAGCTTCCCACATGTTGCGTCCCCTTCCTTGAGAAGGAGGGAGAGGTGGGGGAAGGTGTTTTTTAAGACTGACTCCACTTCTCCTTACCCTGCTCTGATTTTATTAGGAATAAATTAAATTTATACCCCCGAGTCTGTTTTGCCCATGATGGTATTTAGTGAGTGATCTCTCCCCTTCCTCATCTCCCCCAGTCCTTATCTCAACCCAGGAACTCTTAGCTGTATTTTCTCTCCTCTCGTGCCTTGGCACCAGGGATGGCTCAGCCCTGAGCCAGCACCACGTAATGCTGGATGCTAACGAGCTGCCTTGGGGAGCAGGGATGTTTCCAGATGACTCCACTGAAGAGAGATGCTGAAATAACTTCCCTACCAGGATAAAACAGGCCAAAAAAGCAACACGGACACTCGATCCCAAACAGCAGGGAAATGGAAACAGGGATCTGCACTCCACAGCGAAACATCCGTGACAAACCCGGCTCCCAAAGGAGCTGGAGGGGCTGGAATCTGCTGGGGATTCCCTCAGGCAGTAGGGACAGTAATTCCATGTACCTGTCATGCAGCTTGGATGGGAAGAAGGAGGAAAACAACACAATCCCTAAGGAGTAGCAGGTTTTAATCCAAAGCCGTGTCCGTTCTACCCACAGAGGGAGAAAAGGTTCCTTCATCCAGCAGTCTCCCTCCCCAGATTGCAAATGGAGCACTCGGAGAACCAGGTTTTTCCTAGATAGCATGATATTCCTTTCAGGAGCTCATAAAACTAAGGAAAATACCTGGGGACAAATGCTACCTCAAAGGAGGCTCAGTTCTCGCTGAAACCAGCGGGGACCGCTCCCTATCCAGCAAATATTTAACCAAATCCTGCAGTTCTGAGCACAGCAAGAGTCTCATTGCACTTAAGCACACCCAGAGCAAGGGCTGAGAGACTCCTCTAAGAGCTGCAAATGGCACAAAGTGTATTTTTCCCTTTAAAATTAGATTACACAAGCATTTGGACAGAGTTATCTGTGCTGCTCTGAGACTTCCACAGGGCAGTTGTAAGGCCACTGCCTTCTGAGCAGACAGCAGATCTCCCTTCATTTCAGTCCTTTCTTCCCCCATTATTACCACCAAAAGTCTCAGTAGAAGCCCTCAATTCAAAGCAAACCCCCAAATTCTACTTTTAGCAGGGTCAGACATGCACCTGAGGGATGAGGGTGATCTGGCAGCTCTCTTTTTCCCAGTTTTAGCCTGGCAAAAGGATCCTCTCATCCTTGCTACCCTCAGCTCCACTGCAGGTAGCAGTGGATCCCACTACAGCATGAGCCCAAATTATGAGGAATGTCATTTATACCCTGGCATTAGAACACTAAGTATTTCCAGCAGCCTCCCAGTAAAATGGATCCCCACTCCACAGCCATGTGTGGGTTTACTGTTCATGGGTGGGATTTCACCTCTTGCTTGGTTCAGCACTTGCAGGAACACTCAGAGATCCCAACAGTGCTACCACAGGATTTTCAAACCAGGTGATGTTTACACACCTGCAGCACACCTGACTGGGTCCAGGTTCTCTCAAAATATTCCCTCCTTTCTCAGGAAAAGTGTCTTCCTCGTTGCACTCTCCCTGCCAAATCCTGTGGACCTAACATTTTAAAAATCCGTGCAACATAAAGGCTGCATTTTTCACTAAGTAACTCTGCACAGATCTCTGAAATCCCTACTCTGAGATATTTGAAATTTTGGGCAATCTGACAATTTGGTATTAGCTTAGCAGCCTTGGGAGAGACATTGCCTAATAAAAAGAGATTGGACAAACTCCAGTTAATTTTTAATCCTGAAAGTTGTCCAAAATCTTGCTTTTAATATTGCTGGTGAGGTATCCCAAGGAGCAGACACATAAATCAAGGCATCAGCTCTCCCTGTGCTGCTGAAATACCATTTGCTACATTTCACCCTGCCTGGGTGGAGAGAGCAGGGGAGATTTTTGGGAATGCAGCGAGCTGAACCCTGTGCTGATGGGAACATCCTCCTCTCAGCTTGTTGGGAAAGGAACATGGAGGGGGGGATTATCTCCCCTTCTTCCTCCAAGCTGTATTTGCATGAAAATTCAAAAAAGGAAGAAAATCCCCGAGGATTCTGAATATTTTCCTACTTAAATCCTTTTGTTATGTTCTAGCATTTGAGGTCATCAAAAGGATTCCTTCAATTTTCTTCTCTTTTCACTATTTCTCCCTACAACCTACATTTTCCCATTATGATCCCTTATTATTTGGCATCCATGGCCCACATAGCTGTCCAGAACAATCCCTTGGACAGAAATCTTCCCATTTTAAAAGAAGGAATAATCAGGGCACGCCACAGAAGGAGCAATTCAAGTTCCCACAACCTCCTGCTACACCCTGAGCCCTGACGGTGCTGGCAAGGGAGTTGCCTGAGGGAAAACCCAACACCCAGGGAAATTTTTTGGGGGAATCCACCTCCCTCCTAACTCCAGTCAGGGGCATGGTGGAAGCTGGGGGAATTGCAAGGTTTGGATCCGACGGGATGGAAGGCTCAGAACTGGAGACTCATTGGAACAGGTGGGAACAGCCCCATTGCTGAGGCCAAGTGACGGTAAATCCTAAGACATCCCTTTGGGCACCTCTCCACCCTCTCCTCTCCAACCCAAGAGGTGTGGAGGCTGCAGCCAGGCGAGGAGGGAAGGCATGCCAAGGGAGCAGGGAAAGGGAGAGGCAGCCCCGAGCTCTGACCTGATGAGCTCCTGCAGGATGTCGGCGCGCCCCACCCGTGCCGCGTGGTACACCGGCGTGCTGCGGTGGTGCCGGCTGCCGTTGGGATCAGCGCCGGCCTTCAGCAGGATCTTGGCACACTCCAGGTGCCCGTTGACCACGGCCACGTAGAGAGCCGTCTGCCCCTTGACGTCCACCAGGTCGATCTCGGCCCCCTTGCGCAGCAGGAAGTCGACGCAGGGCCCGTGGCCGGCGGTGGCGGCGATGCGCAGGGGGGTGCAGGGCAGCCACCCGCAGCACCACACCGACTTCTCGTTGATCCGGCTGTGGTGGGGGGACACACGGTTAGAGCAGCCCCATTCCCTGCAGGAGGGTGTCCCCTGTGAGTCTGGGCACTGCCCGGGCTCCCCGGGGAATGGGCACGGCGCCAAGGCTGCCACGGCTCAAGGAGGGTTTGGACAGCGCTGCCAGGGGTGCACGGGGTGGGGTTGTTGGGGTGACTGTGGGCTTGGACTGGATGATCCTTGTGGGTCCCTTCCACTCAGGATATGATTCTCCGATTTCTGGCACTTTTAGCAGCCCCAAAAAGCTCCTGCCAATTGCCTGACAGACGCTGCCTGGACAGGTGAAGCAGAGCAGTGCTTGGATGGTGGGCTTCAGCTGTGCCACGGGCTGCACACCTGCACAAACCCTGCCTCAAAAATCACCTATTAAAAAACCAAAACAACTTCTCCCTTCTGTCCCTTTGTAAAGGGAGATGTCCCAAACTGGTAGCCCAGAGAAGCTATGCCTGCCCCATTCCTGGAAGTGTCCAAGTCCAGGCTGGACAGGGCTTGGAGCAACCTGGTCCAGTGGAAGGTGTTCCTGCCCGTTTCAGGGTTAGGATTAGGATGAGCTTTCAGGTCCATATCTATCTCCAAATTCAAAGACATCACTTCTCTGCTCACTCCATCACTTGTTGAATGGAGCTGTGGGTCCCACCCTCCTCTTCCTGTCAAACTCTGCTTTTTCCCACAAAAAACCCTCAGCCCAAGGGTCCCAAGAGCCCCAGCTGCCCAGGTAGCAGAGGGAAGGGCTGGCTCATTCTCATTTTTTGCTGAAATAACACCTTTTTTTTTTTTTTTTGAGGCTGGGAAACATTTAGCACTCTAAGCAGATTTCTCCATGATACAGGAAAATTAATTAACTATCCCCACAGTCACAGGGTTAGCACTGGGCAGATTTTGTAACATGGGCTGTTTCAGGTTTATAGTTGATTATAATCCCTTTTGTATGTTTTCCCCATTATCCGTAGGCTCCCGTTTTCCTGGTATCACATTCCTATCCTGATCTGAAAAGAGTTCATGCACAGCTATCACAGCCTCATGAGCAGCTGTGAAATCTGCCTCCTGGGAAACCAGGGGAATGATCTGGGGGAAAGGGGAGCATCCTGCCACCGTGACACCTCTCCCATAAAATCTCCCGTCCCTGGAATTGTCCAAGGCCAGGCTGGACAGGGCTTGGAGCAACCTGAGATAGCGGAAGGTGTCCCTGCCTGTGGCAGAAGGTGGGATAAGATGAGCTTTAAGGTCCCTTCCTACCCAAACCGTGCAATGAAAAAACCGGACGAGATGGGGGTCACCAAAAGGACCAGGCTGTGGAGACAGCGAGAACATCCTAGGAAACACCTCTCCCCAAAACCAGCGGGTGGGATGGGAGCCCCCAAAAAGTGCAGGCTGTGGGAACAGTGGGAAGAACATCCTGACACCTCTCACAAGAAAAAAGGCCGAGATGGGAGCCCCAAAAGGCAGAGCAGTGAGCACGGCGAGCGAAGCATCCTCCCTGACACCTCTCCCATAAAAACCCCCATCCCTGGAAGTTTCCCAGGCCAGGCAGGACGGGGCTTGGCGCACCCTGGGACAGCGGCAGGCGTCCCTGCCGATGGCAGCGGCGGGACTGGAAGCTCTTTAAGGTCGGAGGGGCCGTGTCCCAGGCTGCATGCCCACCTCTGGAAGCTCTCGTCCTGCAGCAGGCTGCGCAGCGTGGGCAGGTCCCCCACGAAGGCCGCGTCGTGCAGCCGGGTGTCCTCGCAGTGCTCCAGCGGGTGGTCGCAGAACTGCTCCCGCAGCCACTCCTTCAGGTTGCGACCTGCGCTGGAGAGAGGCACACGGCGGGGTGACAAAGGGCTGGCAAAGGGGGACAGTGACCCCGCTGTCCCCGGCACGGCCGCCCCGGCACCCCCCTGCCCACGGTACCTGCCCGGGGCGGGCGGGTCCCCGCCCTCCGCCATCGCGCCCCGCCGGCCCCGCTGCCTCGCCCTCCCTCGGGCCCTCCCTCGGCCCCTCCTTCCCGGCCTCCCTTCCCGGCCTGATTGGTCCCGGTTCGCTTCCTGCTCCCGTTAAGGTGGATCCTCCCCGCCGGCCGCGCGGCCTCTCCTCCCTCAGCCGCCCCGGGCCCGGCCGCTGCGGCTGCCGTCGCCTGCTGCGGGCACGCCGGAGCCAGGACAGCGGGCAGGGCTCGGACAGCTCCCCGCAGCTTTATGGGCTCCTGGTCTCCCCGTTTCTGGTCGTTTTACCGGTCTTATCTCGGTTTTCCCGCAGCGCAGCTTCCGGGATCTTCACTTGGAAGGGATCCATAAGAATCCTCCAGTGTAACCCTGCCCAGACAGCCCAACATTCCCACCCTGTGCACCCCTGAGAGCATTGTTCAAATGTTCCTTGAGCTCTGGCAGCCTGGGGCTGTGCCCTTTCCCTGGGGGAGCCTGGGCAGTGCCAGCACTCTCTGGGGGAAGAACCTTTTCCTGATATCCCACCTGACCCTGCCCTGACACAGCTCCAGCCACTCCCTCAGGTGCGGGCCCTGTCACAGAGAGCAGAGATTGGAGCTGTTCCTTGGGAGGAAGCTGCCAGCCATGCTGAGACCTCCTTTTCCTCTTCTCCAGCTGAACAAACCCAGTGCCCTCAGCTGTTCCTCATCCCTTTACCATCTTCATTCTCTCTATTCCCTTCACCATCATTGTGACATTTCTTTGAACACTAACAGCTTTATATCCTCATTATTGCTCTACAAGCGTTTAAAACACACCCTCAGCTTCTAAGTGCACATTTTCGAGTCTCCAGTGACAGCAGGGAATGGTGGTCATCCATCCATCCATCCATCCATCCATCCATCCATCCATCCATCCATCCATCCATCCATCCATCCAGGCAGGCAGGATATCCCTCCAGAGACACCAGGCTCTGGCTGCAAACATGGTTTCCTGTGACTTTTGTACTTTGAGCTCGAGGAACACGCAGGAGAGAGGCACAGTCTGCAAATCAAACCCTTTTCCTTTGCCTGCTGGAAGATCAGGAGGGGATGGGATTGATGGGAATTTCAGATCCACTAGCACTGCCACCTTCTCCTGCCTGCAGCCCTTACACCCCTGTATGAGGCATACCCATATACACCTTGCTTGGTTTCTAACCCCAATTTACAGCTGCATCCAGAGGCTCTGTGTGCCCCACTCTGTCCACTCTGGGCAGGGAAGCAGCCCTACACATCCCATTCCCTGTTGCATCGCTTACCCATTTAATGGGAATACATTTAATGAGCTCCTCCAGCTCCAGTGGAGCGATGGGGGCTCATCCAGAGGAAAAACCATGTTGGTCCATGGGCTTTTTTTTAAATTTGGAGCTGATTGTTCTCCCACAGGGAAAGTGTGGACAGGCGAGAAAGGGGAGCAGAGGATGGAACACTGTTTATTAGCAATAGATCCATGGGGAAAGCAAAGCCCTAGAGGGGAATAAAGGGGTGGATAAACAGGACAGACAAAGCTGGAGTTGCTCATGGTTTGAGGTTCCTTCAGTTCTTGCTGCAACGAAGGCAGAACGTTCTTACAGACCATATCCCAGGAGATTTTCCTGCTTTTTGTCTCCTGAACCAGGCTTTGATTCTCTCCTTTTTTAAATTTTTTTTAATTAACTTTTCCTTAAATGCACGTGAAGAGCAGCCCATCCCAAGTTGTCCTGACGAGTTCTTGCACAGTGGTAGTGAGAGGGAGTGACTGTGCAGACTCAGCCTCCAGCTCTGGAAATCCATAGGTGTTTTAAGAGAAATCCCATGGGGAAATGCACTAAACTCTGCTAATTTATATCACTTCAAGTGGCTGCAGTGGCAAAGTGGAAATTTGCAAACAGTTCACCATTTGGTGAAGACCTAGCTTTTTCCAAGTCTGGAGAAATTGTTTTGTCCAGCATATCCTGACAGCTCCTACCAGCTGTGCCAAGCTGAGGGCACAGGCTGTTGGCAATCCACACCAAAAATGGAGCCTCCAGGAGGAGACTTCCAGGGTCTAAAAATAGTCACTTATCCAACACAGCAACACATGCTGGCTCACCCATTAGGCAACACCTGTTCTCCAGCTCCTAACCCTGAAGCAATGTAAAAAAACCCCTCAAATTCAATAAATAAATACATACATACATACATAAAGAACTCCTCCTGCTGATCCTGATCCAGAGGATCCCTCAACCATCCCCTCCACATTCATTAAGATTTCCCACTGCCCCCCCCCAGAGCAGACACATCCTCCTACTCCCCATCCTCTCCCAACTGTGCTCCTCATGCTTCAAATAAAACAAGTTCAGCCATCCTGCTCCTGGAAACAGGACCCCTAGAAAGGACCAGAAAGGAATCAGCCCATCCACTAGGCTCCCACTACCCTTCCCTTCCCTTCCTTTCCCTTCCCTTCCCTTCCCTCACCTGATCACGGCTGAGGGGCGAAGAGGGGGCAGGGGTGAACTCCTGTTAATCCACTGCTTTTACTCCCTGGAATGAAGCCAGTGGTTGCATTTAGTGCCAGGCTGAGAAGAAAATGAACCTCCCTCTCTCCCTCTCATTCCTGGATAAACATGGACATCTTGGGAGCCTTGCCTGAAAAGGACAATGATTTACACCTGGTGCTAAAACCAGTGGTTAGTCTCACCACCACCACCACCACCTCCAACGCCCATTTCCAGGGGCACCACACCTTTTAAATCCACCTAGGTTCCTCCCAGACCTTCCAAGCAGCAGGAAAAAAGCTGCATTATGAAATACTTTGCAATTGTAACTGCTTTGATGCCAGGGTCGCAGTGAAGGAAAAGAAAGAAAGGAAGGGGGGGAAAAATGCCGTGACCAGAAGTGTAATTCACACTTAGCTCAGTCTGTAAAACTTCTCCCTGCCTGGATCCAAGCCATCGGCTTGCATTTGTAGTGAACTCTCAAATGAAGTTGCCCTAGTGATAAATGCATCTATGGGGAAAGATGTAGGGGGAAAAAAGTCCCTCATGCCCTTGTTTTTAGCTCAGCCTGATGCTTTTCTGGGGAATTGGTGTGGTTCCTGAAGTGGACATGAAGGCATGCATTAACAACAGAAAACAGGAATGAGAGATGGGAGGAGAATTGAATTCCAGCATCCAGGATGTCATTAGGACTGGGGCTGGAAGCACAAACATGACAACAGAAAGGTTGCTTGGAGTCCAGGAAGTCAATCCTGCTGCAAATGGGCCTAAATACCTCTGTGCTGAGGGAAAACAGGCAGCACTGATCATCAGCCAGCTGAGTTCGAACCTTCCTTCCCGTGTCCAGCACTTTGCCCCTTCCATCCTGACCGGGAGAAAGCAGAGGGTGTGGAGTGGAGATTCTACTGCAACACCACAGAAAGGCAGGGACTAGAAAATCCCACCCATCATCATCCATCATCATGAGACAGAGCTGAACAGTCACCCCACTGCTCCTGAGAAAACTGGGACAATCTGTCCTGACAGTGAGGGAAAAGGGCTAAAATTGAGTAAAGAGCCATCAGGATTAACACAATTAAGGAAAAATAGCCCTAAAAAAGGGAGTATTCCCTACTGGCTGTGCCCAGAGGGTTTGGGGCACAGCACCTCTGGGCGCTGGAATTTTGTTTAGGATTTTCAGCCTTGCCCAGAGGGTGCCCAATGATAAGGAAACAGGGCAGCAATTGTCCTACACATCCCTTCCATTTCTCCCAATTAAATTATGGGATTCCCTGCTTTTCCCTCATTCTTTTCCTGTCATTTATTTCCATTAAGGGCATGAAAGGATCTGGAAATCCTTGTGGGCTGTGCTGCAGGAACACCTCAGGAGCATGAAGAACCCAAATCCACCAGCCTGGTGTCTCCAACAGGATCCAGCCACAGGTTCCCAGCTCATGGATCAAGCACAGTTGCAGACATTTTTTTCTCCAGGGCCATTATTATGAACAAGTTTGAGGCAGGGAAGGAAAACACTGATGGAGCTTTTATCACCATTTTCCAGGAGAAACAGCCATCCTTTGATGGCAGATGTGGGAATTTCACAGGAGAAGCAGGCGTCTCCTTTACCTCAGTCCACAAAGGAAACACCTCCTTACAGGCAGGTTAGAAAATACCAGAAAATCTGCTGAGGACAAGTTTCCATCCAAAAAGGCAAAGGGCTGCCCAGGAATGAGTCACTCAGGAACATTTCAGCCCAACTCCCACCAGGGATTTGCAGACAAAAGGGATTTATTTATATTTTTAGCTGTTTGGGTTTTTTTAACTCCCCCTCAATGTTTTTGCCACTTGAACAACTTCTTTCAGCACTCATGTGGAATTTTCAGAAGAAACAGCTCAAGGAAAAGCAAGAGGGGGGGGGGGGGGTGGAAAAGAGCTGGGGAGGAGAAAAGTTTGCACAGGAGTTGGACTTTGATGATCCTTGTGGGTCCCTTCCAACTCAGTGATTCTGTGATTTCACATCCCTCCCTCTTCCCCTGAGTCTGGCTATTGTCCTCTTCATCCCAAACCAGCATTTCTGACACACAGAGAGGTTAAACACTGACTATTTCATAGAAATAACTGAATGGTTTGGGGCGGAAGGGACCTTCAAAGATCCTCCAGTCCAACCCAATAAACAGTGAACATTCCATAGAAATTATAGAACTATTTGGACTGGAAGGGACCTTTAAAGATCATCCAGTCCAATGCTTGAAGGCATTCCAGGCAGTCCAGATATATGCCCAGGGATGCAGCTCCCAGTGCCTTGGGAGTGAGGTTTTAAATGAGGTCTGCTGCAAAATTTGGTGTGATCAGCACCGAGTAGCCCCGTCAGAAACCTGCATTAGTGACAAAAGGCACATCAAGAGCCCCACAGCAGCATCTACACCTCCACATTCCCTCAGAGGAGGTGGTTTGGGAGGGGCATCCAGCTAGGAACAGGTATCAGGAGCTCCACAGCCTTGGACATCTATGGAAAAGCACAAAGCTGAGAAATTCTGTCAAAAAAAGAGAAAATACAGCAAGCAGGGGAC